AGGTACCTCTTAGTCATTAAAGTGATATCTTTTGCAGCAGATTTGCCCAACACAATGCGCCGTTTGATTTCTTGACTGCTGTTCCATGGGCGTTGATAGTGGATCCAAGTCTCTGGTTGATCCCTGAACTACACATACATAAGTCAAACTGAAACCAGATTGCAGCTAAGGCTGAGAGGACTGAACCAATCTAAGCTGATGCCCACCAAGGCATGACAGGCTCAATTGAGTCTAATCAATTTAAATTCCTGCTAAAACAAGAACGTCAGTACTTTACACAGCATACGACAGAATCCACAGTCTGCATAATATAACATTCACAATGCCCAGAATACAATCCAACGTTATTTGCCATATGAAGACTCAGGAAAATGTTACACATTCCAAGGGGAAGAAAAAGAATCAATGGATGTCACCTTGAAATGCTAAAAAATTATCCGACAAGATCACTGAAGTAGCTATTACAACTATACTCTGTGAGCCAACGGAAAATGCACTCATAACAAACCCAAAGACAGAAAATCTCGGCAGAAAAAAATATATAAAAAACCAAATGGGAATTTTAGAACTGAAATTAACTCACTAAATGGACTTAATGGCAGAATGGGATTGATCATGAAAAGAATAGTGAATCTGAAGACAGATCAATCTGAAGAAGAGAGAGAAAAAAAGATCGAGAAATAATTAACAATCAACAAGGCCTCAGGACAACTGGGAAAATTTCAAGAGGAGCATTAAATAGGAAGGACTGGCAAACTACAAATATGGTCTACTGCCTGAGTTGGTAAATAAAGTTTTATTGCAACACAGCTAAGACCATTTTTTTACCTTTTTTTTTATGGTTCCTTTCACACTATAGGTTCATATAAGTTCATACAGAATTGCAAGGGACCTGGGATAACCAAAGCAATCTTGAAAAAAATAACAAAGTAAGAGGACTCACACTTCCCAACTGCAAAACTCACTACAAAGCTATGGTAATCAGCATGGTAACAGTATAAGGATTGACACACAGATCAAAGGAACGGAAATGAGAGTCCAGAAATAGACCCGTACCTGGGCAACTGATTTTCGACAGTGCCAAGACCATTCAATGAAGAATAGTTTCTTCAATAAATGGTGCTGGGACAATTGGATACACACATGTAAAAGAATATACTTACCTCACATATAGAAAATCTAACTAAAGAGTTAAACCTATAAAACTCTTCGAAGAAAACATTGGGGCAAATCTCCATAGCCCCTCGATTTGGCAATGGATTACATCAAAATTAAAAACTTTTGTGCATCACAAGACACTATCAAGGGAGTTAAAAGGCAATTCACAGAACAAGAGAAAATATCTGCAAATCATATATCTAATAAAGGGCTAGTATCCAGAATATATAAGCAAACAACAAAAATACAAACAGGTCAATTAAAGAATGGGCAAAGGACTTTGAATAGATATTTCTGCAAAGATATATAAATGGCCAAGGAGCACATGGAAAGATGCTCAACATCATTAGTCATTAGGGAAATGCAAGTCAAAACAACAATGAGATACCATTTCAAATCCACTAGGATGGCCACAATTAAAAAAAGAAAAAAGAAAAATAACAATTGTTGATGAGATACTGAGAAAACGGAAAACTCATACGTTGCTGATGGGAATGTAACATAGTACAGACGCTCTGGAAAACAGTTTGATGATTCCTTAATAAGTTAAATATAGAAATACCACATGACTCAGCAATTCTACTCCTAGGTATATAACCAAAAGAATTAAAGACAGGTGTCCAAACAAAAACTTGCATCTGAATGTTCATAAGAGCTCTATTCACAATAACTAAAGGTAGAAACAACCCAAATGTCCGTCAACAGATGAATGGAATGTGGAATACGTAAAATGGAGCTTAGAAGTAGTACAGCCAGGATGCTCCTTAGAAGCAAGGACGGTGAGACTTCATCTCACTTACTTTGGACATGTTATCAGGCAGGATCAGTCTCTGGACAAGGACATCACGCTTGGTAGACTAGAGGGTCAGCAAAAAAGAGCAAGACCCTAGGAATACACGGCAATTAAGTGCAATATCCAGTCACAGAATGGATCCTGCACTGTAGAGGAAAAACATTCTAAAAGGACATGGTTGGGGTCAACTGAAAAAAATCTTGTACTTCCAAGACAGATTTCCTAGAAGTAAAAATTTTCAAAAAAACGAAAGAACATTTCATTTTCTGGTGACCAGTTCTCCTTCCTTCTTAGTTGTAATCTAGCTTCTTGTGACTGCTGTTTCCTAGACTACTCACACATGAAGGTCCCCACGACCCACTACAACCCTGAAGCCCTAAAGCCACACAGAAATAACACTGTTATAACAGAATATTTAAATTTCTTTTTACATCCTCACTAAACATACACTCACCTGTTGCATCTTCTAATAACTACAACTCCTTCGGATCTTGTTCATGCTCTACTCCCTTATCTGACTATCCAAGGTAGGAAAAGCGGAGAGTGGTGCAAATTTCTGATTGCCTTTGGTGAAAGATACACTAAGATCAACACCTTTGGAGAATAGACAGAAGATGTAGAAGAGTCATACTGCTGCTTTTTTAGGAAACCAGGGAAATTCTGAATGAAAGCAGCAAAGCAGAAACTAAGGCGTGGCCATTCAACCCTGTGTGAAGAGCTTTCACCTTTCACAGTAAAGGTCTCCAGGGCAACACTGCACAGCGGAAGTGGTGTCCCCTGGAACTGTGCATCAGGCAGACCTGATTGCTTCACCTACTGCCTTCTCTTTGCCTCCCTCACCTAGGTTATAAATTCTAGATTCTCTAGAGCACCTAGTATGATATGAGCTTGCTGTGTTGTTATTTGTTGCAATCTAACATGGCCATGATGTGGACGTTACTTCAAGGTTAAAGGGCCTTAAATTGGAAGTGGACCTCTATTAAGGCAGTATGTAATATGGATTTAATTCCATTTTCTTAACATACTCTCCATAATCTAAATTTCAAGCATTACACTCTCCAGCTATATCCTCCTATCTTTCCAAATGTCCAGCCTCTTGTACAATTCTAATACTTCAATCCAACCAAGGTCTACAATCTGTTAATCAAACTATGTTTCCACTATCCTACACTTCCTTCGTGTCCTCCCTTCCCCCTCCTTATGGAGCTTAGATTGCATGACACATCATAATAATCACTGATATGCATAATCCTTCAACTCCCCTTGGCCCTCTCTCCCTTGGTACTAGCAACCTGGCAACATCCCAACCCTGGTAAAATCCAACACTACCTATTTCACACTTGAAGGCTGCTGAAGAATCAACAACTGTTCGGTTTGCCTGGTCTCACTTTAAATTTACAACCACTAACCTTAAGTGAGCTGTCAGTACTGCCCAGTATTCAATGAAATTTCCCTAATCCGTTCATTCTCCCACACTCCTAGACAACTATTTTGCACGTTCTCTTCAAATCTCCAGCATTCAGAAAGTAAAAACAATCAAAAGATTTCCACAAGGTCTGACCTCCACACCTACTCACTTAACAGTAACTGTACCTATATGCTCTGCATTCCCTATTAATATCGATGATCTGTCTTTGATTCGACATAATCTATTCATTCCCTAGAACAAGCCCTTCAATCCCCTCAAGCCATTTACACAAGTAAATGTCTGTTCTTTCTTCTTTATTATCATCACATTTTCCCTCTCTACTGGATCAGCTGTCGGCATACAGAGATGCTATACTGTCTCCCACTTAAAAAAACCTCCAGTGCACACCACCGATAGGTACTGTCCCACTGCTCTGTTACCCAGCACAGATTTGTCTACATGCAGTTCCCAACCCCCCTCCTCCTAACTTCTATTCAGCCTACTCCAGTTATCTTGCTCCCACTACTCCACCAGAACTGCTTGTCACCAATGACCTGCATGCTGCTAACCCCAGTAGTAATCTCTCAGACCTCATTTTACTCAACCTATTTAAGTATTATTTGTCATTGTTGATCATTATCACTTCCTTGAAAAGCTTCTCTCACTTGATTTCTAGAACCCTCTTCTCACTGGTCTCCTTCCTACACTACTACTGGCTGCTCCTTCTCAGTCTCCTCCGCCAGTTCCTCCTCAACTCTACACACTCCATCTCGGAACCACTTCCCTTCTCTATCTATATTCACTCTCTAAGAGATTTCATCCCGTTTTATGGCTTTAAATACCACATCTATCTACCTATCTATCTTTATGACAAACACATTTATCTCTAACCTAGACCCATCTCCCAACTCCAGATGTATATATCAAACAGCCTACTTAACATCTCCATAGGAATGACTAACAGGTATCTCAAATCCAGTATGTCTACAACTGAACTCCTCATTCTTCTCCTTCCCCCAACAACCTGACCATAAACCTAGTCCTTAAAAAGCCTTCCTACCTTTCTAGTTCCTCAGGCCAAAAACCTTGCAGTCATACTTGACTCCTCCCTTTCTATACAACCTTACATCCAAATTCTCAGGAAATGTAGTCTGGCACTATATTCAAAAATATATTTAGAATCTGGCCATTCCTCACTACCCTAGATTAACCAATGGCCTCCTAACTACTCTCTCTGCTTCTGCCTTTGCCCCCACTAATCTCTACATGCTACTCTTCTGCTTCACATCCTACCAGATCCTATACAATCTGGCCCCGAACTACTTCTCTGACCTCAGTCTCCAATCTCTCTTCCCCCTGACCACTCTTCATCACAATGGCTTCCTTATTGTTTCCTGAAGACACCAAGCATATCCCTGTCTCTGGGCCTTTGCACTCATTTTCCCTGTGGGCAGAGACTTAAGTACTCTATTTTTATATCTATTTTTCAGCTACAGAATCTGAGACATAAAAATGTTACTTGCTTAAGTAAGAAGCAGAGCAAAGATGGAAACTTTATTTGGTTCTGAGGTCTGTGCAAACCAACTCCATGCTTTACAAATACTAGATACTTAGGAAAAGAAAAAGAAAGAAACTTCTTACTTTTCAACCCAGAGCACAGAAACAAGCTTTATCCCCTTCTTTCGTGCTTTGTCCCAAGTGTGCTGGTATCCATCTTTGAACACAACGTGGGTCACTTGTTTATTAAAAGTTTTTGAAACCTGTAGGCAAAATACCAAAAACAAAATGCAAACTATTACTACTCACACACAATTTCATAAGTACAACTGATCAAAAGGATACTTTATTCAATATTCATCAAAATAAAAATACCCAAAATTCCTACTCCAGCAATTCTATTTCTCATAATCTGTCATAGGGAAATATTCTAACAAATGCATAAAACTGTGTAAAAAATGTATGTTTCAATTAAACATGACGTATTACACACAATGTTTACATCCTCTTCACTCTTACACACACACACACAGACACACACACACACACGCAAACCTCTAAGGGCTACTAAAAGAATAAAACAAGTCTGAGCTCCACAAGGATAAAGAAGAGAAGACAGAAAAGAGATGGCAGCACATTTCTAGTAGATGAAAAGAGTGGTAGTTGAGTCCAAAGATGAAGTCTTGTCAATAATAAAGTACATTTAAGGGAAGCTTTCAGTATCAAAGACATGAAACAAAGCAAACAGAAAAAACAGAGAATATACAGAACAGAAAAAACTTTAAAAAGTAAAAACACATTTTTAATATCTTTAGAAAATACTGTTTTCATGCAACAATATCAAGAGGTTATTTTTTAAAGGATTAGAGAACTAAAGAGCTCTTGGAAATTAAAAATATGATGACATAAATTAAAAATTTTCTATAGAAATTTTGGACAATAAAATGGAGAAAATATCCCAGGAAGTAGAACAAAAACACACAGAAGGCCATAAGGGCAGATAAAGGATAAGAAGAAAATCCGGAGGTCTAACAGCCAAGTAATAAGAATTGAAGAAATGTATGAAGAGAGAAAATGAAGAAATTATAAATCAGTTGAGAAACTTTTCCCAACTTGAAGGTCGTGAGTTCTAGATTGAAAGTATCCCCCAGGGTCCAGCACAAGGAATGAACACGTTATTGCACCAGGCACATCATCAAGAAATTGTAGCACAGCTGCAATAAAGAAAGTTATTAAAAGAGTGGGTGGGGGAGTGGACAGGGTGAGAATAAGTCAGATTCAAACAATGAAAATAAGAATGGCATCAGACTTCTTAATAGTCGTCCTGAAGTCAGAAATTAATAGAGAACTGCCTTCAAATTTCTGAGGAAAAACAGTATTCAGCCTAGTTAAAGTATCAATCAAAGGTAATGGTAAAATAAAGGCATTTTCAGACACTCTAGTAGTGTCAAAACTTTTACCCCTTATGTACCCTTTCCAGAGAGGGGGCCGTTGTGGTTCAGAGTTAGAATTCTTGCTTTCTACGCAGGAGACCAGCGTTCATCTCCCAGCCAATGCACCCCCCCATCCACAGCCACCTGTCACGGAAGGCTTGCTTGCTGCTACCCATTGCCATCGAGTCGATTCCGACTCACAGAGAGCCTACAGGACAGAAACTCCGTAGAGTTTCTAAGGAGCGCCTGGTGGATTTGAACTGCCAACCTTTTCGTTAGCAGTCGAGCTCTTAACCACTGTGCCAGCATGTTGCTATGATGCTGAAAAGGTTTCAGCAAAGCTTCTAGACTAAGATGAACTAGGAAAAAAGGCCTGATGATCTACTTCTGAAAATCAGCCAATGAAAACCCTATGGATCTCAACAGTCCGATCCACAACCCACCCCGGGGATGGCACAGGACTGGACAGCTTTTCGTTCCCTTGTGTGTGGGGTCACCCATTACGAAATTCATGGTACCATTTGTCTTTTTAAACAATGTAAATGTATTACTTTTATAAAATTAAAATTAAAAACTGAATACACAATGCAACTTCTTCCTAATTTGGGCCAACTCCCTTACTGAGGACAACTAAAAGAGATAAATTATAAACACATATGCTTGAAGGTCCTACAGAGCTATTAAGGGTAAAGAATTATTGGGCCAAGATTCTGAGGAGACAACTGACATCCAGAGAGATAAGTCAAACATTTGGGGCCGATATTTCCCAGGGCTTTGCCGAATTTATTAAACACTAACTAGCACTTCTAAATGCCTCTCAGGATTAGCGTGGCAAAAATTGGAATACAAGCCTTAGAATGGGAGAAGAAGGTCTGGAAAAACCCCTCCACCTTGGGTTAAGACCCAAAGGGCTACATGTAGAACTAAGGTGAATTAGAAGTTATAGTGGTCCTCGCAGATCTGTGGTCTAGTTTTAAATATCTCAAAAATCAAACCCGTTGCCATCGAGTCGATTCTGACTCATAACAACCCTATAAGACAGAGTAGAACTGCCCCATACGGTTTCCAAGGAGCAGCTGGTGAATTCGAACTGCCGACCTTTTGGTTAGCAGCTGCAGCTCTTAATGACTGTGCCACCTGGGCTCCAAATACAATTACAGGCCTCATTTTCCAAGCAATTTTAAAGATACAATGCTCAACAACAACAACAAACAAGAAACAAGTAATTGTCATGGGTTGAACTGTGTCCTCCAAAACTATGTGTCAACTTGGTTAGGCCATGATTCCCACTATAGCATGGTTATCTTCCATTTTGTGATTAATGTAATTTTCCTGTGTTGTAAATCCTAATCTCTGCCTGTGGTTAATGAGGCAAGATTAGATTACGTTAAAGAGAATTAGGGTGGGATATAACACCCTAACTCAGGTCACATCCCTGATCCAGTATAAAGGGAGTTTCCCTGCGGTGTGGCCTGCAGCACCTTTTATCCTACAAGAGATAAAAGGGAAGGGAACAGAGAGACAGGGGTATCTCACACCACCAAGAAAGCAATGGCAGGAGCACAGCACATGCTTTGGACCCGGGGTTCCTACACAGAGAAGCTCCTAGTCCAGTGGAAGATCAATGACAAGAACTTTCCTCCAGAGCCAACAGAGAAAGCCTTGCCCTGAAGTTGACACCTTGAATTTGGACTTGTAGCCTACTAGACTGTGAGAGAATAGATTGTTTGTTAAAGCCATCCACTTGCGGTATGTCTGTTAGAGCAGTGCTAGGTAACTAAGACAGTAATGAACAGATGAGATAACAACAACCATGGGGCGGGGGAGTAAATCTAGATGTTGCACTTTACCAGACACAGACTTGCTGTGGAATCAGCTAAAGCCACACTTAGGTAAAATGAATAATCTAAAATATGCATACATAGAAACTAAGAAGGCTGAAAATGCACCATCTCAAAAACTTAGGAAAAGCTAACTAAAACCAAAGAGATAGTGAGATAATAATGATAAGGTCAGAAATCAATAAATTAGAAAAGAAATATACAAAAGAGGATCAAAAATGCTTAAAGACTAATAGATTAATCTTCAAATTAGACAGACTAATAAAATCAACAATACCCAGGTAAGAACAATTAAGAAAAAAAGAGAAAAGATACAAATAACCGTAAAGAACAAATTGGATGACTTATCAAGATTCATTTTAAGGAGTAATTAAGACAGAATTGGATAAGGGGTGGGGCAGGGTTGCATCCCTTCACTTTACTTATTCAATCTGTACGCTGAACAAATCATCCGAAAAGCTGTATTACATGAAGAAGAACCCAGCATCGGGATTGGAAGAAGACTCATTAACAACCTGTGATATTCAGATGGCACAAGCTTGCTTGACAAAAATGAAGATGACTTGAGGGTTTACTAATGAAGGTCAAAGACTACAGCCTTCAGTATGGATTACGCCTGAATGTGAGGAAAATGAAAATTCTCACAAAGAGACTGATAAACCACATCATGATAAATGAAGAAGAAACTGAAGTTGTCAGTGATTTCATTCTACTTGAATCAATAATTAACATCCATAGAAGCAGCAGTCAAGAAATCAAATGACATACTGCATGAATACTGAATATACTTCGACTGCCAGAAGAACAAACACATCAATCTTAGAAGAAACACAACAAGAATGCTCCTTAGAAGCCAGGATGGCGAAACTTCAGGTTGGTTTCTTTGGGCACGTCATTAGGAGGGATCAATTCCTAGAACAGGACATAACAGCTGGTAAAATAAAGGGTCAGTGGAAACAGGAGAAACCCTCAAAGAGATGGATTGACACAAAGCCTAAATAATGGACTCAAACATGCCAACGATCATGAAGATGGCACAGAACCAGGCAATGCTATACATAAGGTCGTCACGAGTCACAGTCGACTCAACAGCAGTTAATAACAACAATTAAGACAGAATGGTTTTATCCTGAGAACAGAATAATAGATTAACGAAACAGAATAGAGTCCCAAACAGACCGAAACACTGGATCCCTGATTTATAGCAGAGATAGAACAGCAGAGCTTGGTTAAAGGATAGTCTTTTCAATAAATGGTGTTGAGACAAGTGAATATTCATATGAAAAAACTGAAACTACCTCATACCATAAACAAACACACTTTGTTCATAGCTGTAACGACTGTTCTATGAGATCCGGCATTCCCATTTACCATTTCACCAAAAACTGCAGTGAACAGTAAGTGAACTACAAGCTCAGCAATGACCTTGTAGATGTTAAATCTAAAGCATACTTGCCGATCTTAGCTTTCTTAATCACTCTGCAGTGTTTTAAAATTCCATCTTTGAATGGCATTCTTCGTCTGACTTGCAGCGACTTGTTTTCCAGATTCTCCTGCCATTCTTTATCTTTGTCCCTGAGTTCTCCTCTCCCCTTTCATCTGCCCTTTATGTACAGAACAGAATTCCACCTTCAGCCTTCTTTTTTATTCTAAACATTGCCCTTGTGGAACATGATCCACACCCATGGCTTCATCTACCTCTAAGCTCTTGACCCCAAATCATTATCTCTAGCCTTGACTACCTCACATTCCAGATTTGTACAGGCAAATATCTATCAGGTATTTCAAATATGCCCAAATTTACAATCTTTCCTTTAAACACCTGTTCCTTTTCATATATTCCTCATTTTGATTAATAGCACCATGCACCCAAGTAACCAAGTCAGAATCCAGACTTTCATCCTATATCCTCCTTCTCTCACATCACCTCCAAGACTGTTTTAGAAGTCCTACTGTTATAATTTCTTAATGTCTTGGTTCTTTTCTTTCTTTCTCCCAGTGCCTTCTTTGTCCTTCACGTCCTAGGTAATAATTCCCAAAATAAGAAAATGCAAATATATCTCATTATATATCTGAGAACTATCATATGTTATCAAAAGTAAGATGAATTTCTTACCTTTGCCCCCATATCTACAAGTTGGTTTGTAAAAGTCTTTGAATAATTTTCTGTTCCGTTGGATGACCACACGTCAACATATGCCACTACATCTAAAAAAAAAAAAAACATGAAATATATATTTGCACCTCCAACGGCCCTTACCCAAGAATGTCAAGATTTTTCTTTCATTCTATTTACATTAAAAAGTAAATTTAAAATTTCTTTCATTGAAAGCTTACTCAACTGTAAACATTCATCGATGCTATTACAGTTTAAAATTTTAAATAAAGAACAACATTAATCATACACGTCACAGTTTACAGTGTTAACACTGTGACACCCTTCCCAAACTCCTAAACTAGGCTTAATTCTTCCAGTGCAGTAGTAAAGGTTTTCTGTAAAAAATTAGATAGTAAATATTTTAGGATCTGCAAGCCATATGGTCTCTGTCACAACCATTCAACTTTGCTGTCGTAGTGTTAACGAGTGAGCACTGCTGTGTTCAGTAAAACTTTATTTATAGCACTGAAATTTGAATTTTATATACTTTTCATTTGCCATTATTCTTCTTTTGATTTTCTTCAACCCTTTACAAATGTTTACAAAACAAAAAAAATTCTTAGCTTGTGCATCCTATAAAAACAGGCCATAGGTCAGAACTAGCCTGGCGGGGGAGGCCACAGTTTGTGAACCCATGTTCTAACAGACCATCCAGGGGCTCCCATTTGATTCTAACGGACATCTGTTATGGACTGAATTGTGTCCCCCCAAAATGTGTTGTAAATCCTAATTCCTATACCTGTGGTTATAATCCCATTTGGAAATGGGCTTTCTTTGTTATGTTAATGAGTCGGGATTAGTGCGGGCTGTGTCTTGAGTTAATCTCTTTTGAGATATAAAAAGAGAAGATTAGAGAGTAGAGATGGGGCAAGATAGATACTACACCACATGAGGGTCTCTAGGGAACCCAGCCATTGCCCAGAAGCTGAGAAGAGACAACTCAGACCTTCCCCCAGAACTGACAAAAAAGAAAGCCCTCCCCTAGGGGTGGTGCCCTGAATTCGAACTTACAGCCTCCTGAACTGTGCCAAATAAATTTCTGCTTGTTAAAGCCAGCCACTTGTGGTATTTTTGTTACAGCAGCACTAGGTAACTAACTCAATATCTTTTTTTCAAAATCTGATGTTTTGAAAATACTTGCCAAGTATGTCATGGGTAATTGTGAAGCAAAAGGAAATTCAGACTAATTTAACAAAATACTAATATTAGCCAAAAGTCAATTTTTCAAAGAACCTTGTAAATCACAACTATCTAGGCTAAATTCATAAAACCATTTGAATTGTGCAAAGTCGAACTACATAATTTATACAAAACCTTTGCTCGTTTTCTTTTTCCTTTTGGCTGTAAGGTCTTTGTACTACTCCAGGGTCCTAAATACAGTCTCATTACCAGAAAGTCCTGTTCTTAAACACCCAACTCTAAAAGACACGGGTCCACTATTCAGCACCTCCTCAGCCCTTCCACTGCACCAGTGATGTGACCAGAGACTGAGGAAGCAGTATGATGTACTGATTAAGGAAGAAAGCAGGCTCAGGTGTTGAAATCCTGTACTTACTAGCTATGGGACACTGAGAAAGTACCTCAACTCTCTACGCCTTAGTTCTCCTAGGTGTAAAACAATATAAATCAAGAGTTTAGTACCATGCCCTAGAACACAAAAATCACTCAGTAAAAGGTAGGTGCTGTTATTACAACGACAAACACAGACATATGGAAGAAGAGCTGATATTTCTGTTTTGAAACCCACTACTACCCTATGCCCCTAAATTCACCCAAACATTCAAAGAAATAAGGACCTGAAAATCGGCCCACTTCTACTCTGCCACCTTCTCCAAACCACAACGCGAACCCATCTCTTCTCCATAGCTCTCCAGCATCACTCATTTCCCAGAGGTGGGCTTAGGAACAAAACAACTGGAAAACTATTTAGAGCTACACCCAAGAGGCAGGTCGCCTCCATCCCCAAGAAACGCCTGCTCCTAGACACCCGACGCAACGGGGTTCTGACTCGGCTGGAGACCCCGCTTCCGGGAGCGGCCGCAGAGTCGCGTCCACATCAGCGCGGTCCCCAGGGCCGTTCCCCGCGAGTTTCGGTCCACACACCGCACGTGCCACCGGGAAAGAGCTCCGGCAACGCTGGGCGTTGAACAGGAAAGTGTTCCCACCCAGCTCCGCGACAAGAGCTCGCCCGGCGCCCAGTGGCACCCTTTCTCAAAGCCGTCGTCGGTGGCCGGGGACCCAACAGTCCAGAACCCGGGGTGGACCTCCCGCCCGGGACGCCAAGGGCTTCCGGTGCGACCCTCAGCTGGCTCCCCACATCCCCTAGCCCTCCCAATGTGATTCGTGGCGCCGTGCGAGCAGGAACTCCTTCTTACCTTTCAGAATGGAACTACCTGAAGTCCCCGGGACAGCCATGACCCGGCTGGGACACAAGCCCACCTTTCGGTGTGCGACGTTGACCGCGCGCAGCCGGAGGACCAAACAGACGGGCCGGGCCACTGAGCATGCGCAGAGCGCACGCTTGCCTCCTTTCCAGGGCGCCGGAGTGATCCTATCATCCACGTTTTCCAAGTAGCCCGAGGGCAAAAACAAAACAAACGAACAAACAAAAAACCTAAAGCCCTGCTCGAAAGCTTAGGAAGGTCCTTTTCCTACGACCCTAATTCAGACCTGCATCGCATCTAGACTGCTGCTCAGCCGTAGTTCACGTCTTTCCCTCTGCCTCCTTTGGAGCTACCAGGATAGTGATCCCATGAAAACCCAAGTTAAACCTTTTGAGCGCCTCAGCCAACCGAGAGGTCAGGAAAATCAGAAGTAGGAGGATATTCACAGCCTTGCAGCTTTGGAAGGAACCTCAACTATGATTTTTCTTAAAATTTCCAGCAACATAACGGCCATCTCACCGGGGCCGCACGCTTGCAGCGGGTCACTTTCGTGAGGGGCGCCGCCCCGAAGTCTGCACGAGCGGGGCTAACAGCGAAGGCGCCCTAAAGCCCACACCTCTCACCGCCTTCGGGGCAAAGGCCAGCCGCCCGCTGTGATTAGACCCGCGACTTAGGGTCTTTGCGTCCCAAACTCCACTTTCAGACAGCTCCCCTCCGCCTCCGGGCCCGGACCTACCCCGCTCCCCGCGGGGACAGCCCGCCTCCGGGCCCGGACCTCCCCCGCTCCCCG